TTACTGACCTGGGGCCAGCCATGTGTTTGTGCAAGAGCAGCCATGGGATCCCCATTTTACAGATGAGGAAATGGAATACAGCTTCTCAGCCAGCATCCGTCCCATGGTGAGTCAGCACTAGAGGTGGATTCTAGTCAACTCGGGTCAGCTTGACCCCTGCATCCCTGTATGGGGCGTAGCCCGGGGTGACAGGGAGGCAGAGGAAGGAAATAAGATAAAGAGTTGGGGACAGATGATCTGGCAGTCCCTGAGGGACTTCGCCTCTCCTTAACCATCTGGGCCTCAGTTTCCTCAAATGTTGGTGTGCCAAGGTGATGAGCTGGGCTCGGGGCAGCTGTGACCCCCGACTGGAGGTACTCGGAGTTCTGTGCAGACCAGGCAGATGGATGCTTGGTCACAGTGGCTGCCACTGTGCCAGAGTCAGGGAAAAGACAAATGTTCCTTCTACAGGGCGTGGACCCGAGCACAGCTGGGCATGTGGGGAGAATGTGTGTTAGGCAGATGAGCGGCTCCCCCAAAGTGTCCATGTCCTGGTTCCTGGGGCCTGTGAGCATGCCCAGTGAAGGGGGATGAAAGTTACCAGTCAGTGGACACGCCTGAGGACAAGGAAGTGGCCTTGGACTACCAGGGCGATGCCCGAAACCACAAAGGGCTTTGACAGTGGGAAAAGAAGGCGGAAGAGCGGGTCCAAGGCAAAAGTGACAGGAGGGAAAAGGAAACTACATGAGCAGAGGAGGTGGAGGAGGAGGCAGTGCATGCAGGATGCCACGGGTCCAGGAGCTGGAGCCCGCTGGGACTGCGATTCTCAGCTGGTGTGTCAGCCAGGAATGGCATCCTGCTGCCACCCGGACCTCAGCCTGCTGAGAAGATCCCCGTCGGCCTTCTGGTCTCCAGAACTGCGAGAGAATGAACCTGTGCCTTCGGAAGCTGCCCGCTTGCATTAGCGCATTACAGCAGCTGTGGGAGATGAATGCGGGTCCTGCTGCTTAACTCGCTCTTCTTTAACTGCACAGCTTGAGTGTCCACCCCACCTCTCGATTCAGGGACGTGTGGCCTAGGCCGGAGGGCTGGGACCCGGCCCAGACCTGAGCTAGAGCTGGGCTGCTACAGCAGGGCCCTGGGAGCCACCTGGCTGTGAACCGGCAGGGCCTCCCTGTGAATGAAGCCCACACGGGGAAAGGGAGGCTCCTGGTGATGGTGTCTGAGAGCTGCCGTGGTCCCGGGTATCCGCCAGCTCTCCCCACTCTGGAAGCTTGGCCCCCAGTGTGACAGTGTGGAGAGGCGTTGTGCCCTTTAACAGATGGGCCTGGTGAAAGGTGACGGGGTCACTGGGGCACCACTCTCGGAAGGGATTATTTGTACTTCTCGTGGCACCCTGGTTATTTCCCATGCAAGTGAGTCATTACACAAAGATCAGGCCCTGCCTCTGAATGTCTCCTGCCATGATGACATCTGCCATGACACGAGGGAGTGAGCAGCTGCTTGATCTTGGACTTTCAGTCTCCGAAGACATGATCTACATAAACCTCTTTTCTTGATACATTGCCAAACTGCAGGCGTTTTGTTACAACAGAAAATAGGCTAAGAGGCATGCCCAGACACAGTTGTGTTTGAAACTACATAGAGTCTCGGACTTGTTTCTGCTACTTGAGACCAGTGAGGTCCTGAAAAAATATTATTCTTATAATTTTTAAGTTGTAGGACCTAGTGTAGTACCTGATGCTTGGTACGTCCTTTCCTGACCTCAAGTCTGGTTGTGTCACTAATATATGTTCCCAAAAGTCCCCCAGACTTCCTTCATCACTACATCATAGTGATTTCCAGTTACAAACTAAGTTGTATCTTATGTCTGTCACATGTCTGGGTGGCATGGAATGGGTGGCAGATTCTCAAACCAGGAGCCCCTGAATCTCTTGGACTTGAGTTTGGCTCTGCAGGGTGCAGATTGGGCAGTGGATGGGTGATGGGGACTTGGACCACTGGTCCTCCCCACGGTGTTTTCCCCTGGACACTCGCCAGTCCCAGCCATACTATGCCAGTGAGCATCTGCTGATGGCTTTCTCTGGCCAAGGATATGTCCCTGGGCTGTGGCTGGAACATCCTGGGGTTGGATGCCTAGAAGCGGTCATAACAGATGGCAGCTGGGAGACTGAGTACTCCAGGTCCCTTGCTCTCAGGTGGGATGGGTCAGATGAGCCTCGAAGACTCCAGCGAACCCCAGTGGGATGGAGGCCTGGTTGTCCCTAGAGCTTGTTCATAGCTGTGGATAGCATTGTGATTCCATTGCCAAAATTCCTATGTAGGGGCTTTAAACAACGGGGCCTTTGAAGAGGTAATTAAGGCTCAATGAGGCCAAAGAGGTGAGATCCAATAGCTTTGGGGTCCTTCTAAGAAGAGGAAGAAATGCCAGGTATGTGTCTGCACAGAAGCGAGGCCATCTGAGGACACAGTGAGCAGGTGCTGCCTCCATACCAAGAACAGAGGATGCAGGAAAGGCCAGCGCTGCCAGCACCTTGCTCTTTGATTCCCAAGCTCAGAACTGAGAAAATCCGCTGGTTAAGTCACTCAGGTTTCTTTTTATTCCTTTGAATAGCAGCCCTGTCAAACCAGCATAGTCTCTTCTGGCTTTCTTCTCTTTCCTGTCTCTCCTCCCCCATCAGTGCTTCCTGGAATCACCTCCCAGACAAGCCTCTCGCACTGACACCCTTGCCTCAGGTTCTGCATCTGGGAGAACCCACACTAACAGCTCCATCTGTTTTTTATCGGGTAGCACTTGCTGGACTTCTTGTATTTAGCTGGTGGGGCAGGAAAGAGGTAAAACTTAAGCGACCCTGAATCCAGTTGTTTGTGGCAATGACGCTGAGCTCATTATGTTCCCCCTAAAGAGAGGCAGAGATAAACCACTGCTGTGCATGTGGAGGGCAGCGCAATGGGTGCCCCCCAAATGACCCCGGCATGGCGGTGGTTCATTGTCCAGAAGGACTGACTGGGGAGGGTCATCTCTTGCCAAGGCAAGGACAGCTCAGAGTGTAAAGAGGATTTCAGAGGTTCTGAGTGCAGCTTTTGGAGTCAGACAGCACTGGGTTCTAGAGCAACTCCATCACTTTCTAGCTGACTGACCTGGGGGGGGGGCAGGCTGCGTCCCCTCCTGAGACTCACCTTTCTTCCTGTGTTAGCGATGAGGCCATACTGTCATAGAGGGGGCTGGTAGGCAAAGCACTGAGAACAGGGCCAGAGGATAGAGGGGAATTACAGAGGCAGGGCAATTTTGTAGCAGCAGGGAATTGTTGAAAGGCATGCTCCTCTGGACATCTCTCTAGGAATGAAGAGAGGAAAAGACCCAGGGTACCCTTTCCTGAACATACTGCTAGGGCCAGAATCCCACCTGGAGGGCTCAGGCTGCTGGGCAGTATGTCGAGTACAAAGATCATCTAATCTGCAGAGCCCTGAAGTCATGATACCTCGTGGGTATAGGGGAAGGGACAGGTCCAGATTAAAGGAATCAACTTGACTTTTAAGTGCCCCTTTTAAAGGTCTGATGGTGTTTCTTTCCATTGCCTTGGCAACTAAAACTCCATAAGAAGTGGCTTAGGTCATTTTCAAGAAAGGTGAAAAAGGAACATTAATGAATCTCTTTGGGGTGCCTCTTTATCTGCTTGCGGGCTCTTGGGGCTTAAGTTAGCACCAGCCCTAAAGTTTCCTGCAAGACTTGAACTCTTGGTCAGTTGTGGCAAGAAAGACATTTATGGTCTTGGGATGTGCTTTTCTATGTCCAGGGTCTATTCATAAGATAAGGTCAGGGTCAGTGTTGAGTAGATGGGGAGCTGAGGAGGACACTAGGTATAGCTCCCACACTAGGTCTGGCTTCCAAAGGAGGGTTCAACCCTGCCCCGAGCATAAAGGCAATAAACTTTCCTGAGACAATGGAGAGTAGATGGAAGGTTTTGCTCATGCTGAAAGTCCTCAAGGGTTGGACAAAGGGAAGTCAAAAGATCAACTCACTGCTTGCTCCAAAAGAAACATTTGATCTGCTCCATGATGAAGAAATGGTTCATGTTAGAGAACCGGGATGGGGGAGAGGCTCTCCAGGCCAGCCCAAGCTGGATTTGGGGGTCTGTACCTTCCTTGCCTTGCTCAGTTTATGGCTCACTCTAAGTCCCTCTGAGTGAGACATGATCTGATCACAGGGCCACCTCTGCTCACCTTGCAAAGATATCTCCGGAACCAATAAGGAGCATGGGCTCCTCATTGCTTGTGTTAAGGGGCTCCAGGGAATAGAAGGGCTATAATTTTGGCGCCAGATAAGTGGCTTGATTTTTTCCCAAATGGATATTGGAAGTGATGGACTGTTACACTGGAGGGCTGGGCAGATTATGAAGTAGGTGACTTGGGACTGAGAAAATATTGATTCTTCCACTTCCTCTGGGTTCGCTGCGGCTGTGTCTTGCACGTGTCCAGGGAGATGCGACTGGTGAGGAGGGAAACTATGGGGTGGGGGTGGGGGAGCACCACTAGGCTGCGTGCTCCGGGCGATCTGTGATCGCACCCTGCTCTGCTTCTTCTCTAGCTGTTGTACATGGACTGTCCCCTTCCTGGCGTGATGGGAGGCAGTCTCTGGGGGCTCCCTGGGACCCGTGAGCTTCCTGTACTGGTCTTAGACTGGAACATTAGAAATGTGCTATAGATTTGCGGAATTGGGTTTGGAGGTTCTGAAATCCACGTTGGGGGAGGGAGCACAATATAGGCCAGTGATGGCCCATGTGGGAGCTTTCAGTGATAGCAAACAGCTGCTGCCGCGAGTGTACCAAAGGTGTGCCACCACCAGTATGGGCCATAGCTAGTGAAGTTGGGACCTAAAGGCAAGTGTTCAAATCTTACCTGGGTCCCTCATCGTGGCAGTGGACATCTGCCACTGCCTTTGCCACCTCTTTATCTGATTGATAAAAATGACAAAAAAAAAAAAAAAAACCAGACACAAAAGTATGAAAATGAAAGCGATCTGTTAATAAAAATATGCACTGAGCCTTTATTAAGTGCCAGGTTTTGTGCAAAATACCCTCCCTCATGGAACCCACACAATGTGGATTCCATTATCACCTACTTGATGGGACACAGCACAGTCTCAGAGGGCGTGTAGGCTGATGGTCATCAGCATGGACAGAGCTAAACTTGAACCCAGGACAGTCAGGTCCTAGAGGATAACAGTGTGTTGTAGCTCAGTGACCTGCAGGCAACTAAGGAGAAGGCTCCCCCATACGTGTTCTTAGGACTGGGGGTGTGTGCAGAGGCAAGTGTATCACAGATCTGGATTCAAATTTTGACTCCACATTGTGCACCTTTGGCAAGGTTCCTTGAGCAGCTACACCCAAAGCCTTGTGGGTTAAGAACCTGGTATTCCAAGACGCGTCTTTTCTCCTACGCTGGGGTTCAGGCTTCCACCCCAGCTCCATCCCAGTCCCACCTGCGCTCACCTCTTCAGTCAAAGCTCTCCACGCCAGTCCAGCCTGCAAGCGTTGCCATGGCAGCGCCGCGGGCGGGGATGCTGGAGGATGAGCGCACAGCCCAGCTCGCCCCTTTGTGCCTCGGAGGCACCGGTGCACTCCCCCCATTCCTGGCTTAACCTCGCCTAGAGGGTCCTGACTCTGGGGCGAGAGTAAGGGGGCAGAGTGTGGGGTTGCGGGGGTTCAGGGAGGCTGGAGGAGGGCAGAGGCAAGGGCTGGGGGTGGGGCTCCTCCGTCCGCCCGCCAGCCGCTCCCGCATTAAAATTTCATGGGCGCTGCAGCAGCTACAAAGACGACGCCGGCTGCACTCGGGGGACCAGAGGGAGGGAGGCTGCGGACGAGTGCGGGGAGGAGTTTGCGAGGGGAGGCGCTTGCAAGGGCTCCCCCACTTCTGCGCTGTGAGCAGGGGCACAAAGAGCCCTCTGCACTCCAACCTTCGCACCGTGAACCCGAGGTAAGCCACCGCCTGTCCTAACACCCGGCTCTGCAAGCACCCTCGGCCCCGCGCGGGAGCAGCCTGTTTCTCCGAGGTTGGCTACCGACGGTAGGTCCCGGTGTCCCAGGGCAGGGCTCAGGGAAGGTAAGCACTGCCTGAAGCGCCCCGCATTGCCCAGCCCGCAATTATCAGAAGCAGCCAAGACTCCCGGCCGGATGGGACATGGGAGGGGCCTGAGAGTCCAGGGCAGGTGGGGGTCTTGCAGGGGGAACAAAGGCCCATCCCTTCCCCCACTACCAGGCAGGCATGGGGGTGGGGAGCCCCAGACCTTTCTGGGCCCACCAGGTTAGCAGCTACCTGGCTAAGGCCAGGACTGGTTCTGAACGGTCCTGAAGCTGGAGGGTGGGGTGGCGGGGTCAGGTCCTGGTGCTCTAACCCCCTATGCATCCCCCCACCCCCAGTCGGTCCTTTACTTCTGGGGCTCAGACCCCCGGTGTTCCACATCCAGCGTGGTTCCTAGAGGACAGAGGGTCCGGAAACCATTCCTTGGGCCAGGGAGCGGGTTTCTCTAGGCCAGAGAGGGCTCAGTGCTCTGCGCGCCTTTACCTCGACAGTCCCACGAGGCGGAGAGAACCCCTACGGATGAGGAACGGAGATCCGAGAGGATTAGCGACCCGGCCAAGGTCACACAGCTGGTGGTTTTGAGTCCAGTCGTGATCGACTCTAAAACCCATGTTGCATAGCCAACAGATTCTGGAAAGACCCCAGAACCCACCAGCTAGGATCCCTCAACCCCCGCCTCTCCCCAGCTCTAGTTCACTAGCCAGAGACGTTGGGGATTTGAGAAGGAAACACCGCGACTCCCCTCCGGAGGGCCCTCGGCCCGGGACGTCGTTTCTCTGTGCAGGTGGACGCCCAGAGTCCCCGAGTGGCCCCCACACCACGTCCCAGGCTGCAGGCCGGAGGCTGCGGGGCGCCGCGGCTGCTGCGGGAGGGAGGGGCAGCGCCGGCCGCGGCTTTGTTTTTCTGGGTGCCAGCACCTGCCCAGGGCCGGCCCCGGGCGAGGAGGACCGTCTCTGGGCACCGCGCCGGGCGTTCCAAAGCGCGTGCCGGCTTGGGAGCACCGGGGCGCGTCGCGGTGCCTGGGGAGTGGGGAGCCGCGGGGTAAGGATGAGTAATTCCGCTTGACAGACAGGGAGACCTGAGCGCCGCGGATCGCAGACTCGGGGCGTTGCTTCCGTACGCAGATGTCTGGGCCACGTGGCCGCGGGGATGCGTCAGCAGATTCGGGGTGGGGCTGGGTCTCTGGAGGGCTCCTCCCCGCGCCCCTCCTCCCTGGGGCAGGTGGTCAGGCTCCGCGAGGGCGCAGCCCGCCCCGCCCCGCCCCGGCTCAGGGCAGAGCTGCAGCTTGGCAGGTGCTTTCCTCTGGGCTCCTTGCCAGCCCCTAGTTCTGGGTGACGCTGAACTCACCCCATCTCTAGTGCGGTGAATTTCTTGTTTAAATGTTTTTATGTCCCGTCCCCCAGGCCTCCCGTTCATCAATTTCATGAGTTTGGCCATGAGACCAGCTCTGAGGTTTACCTTACATCTTTCTTCTGGTGATGTCAGCCCCTCTCTTTTCTTAGCAGCAGGCATCTGAAGTCCTTGGAGTCCGAAAGAGGAACCAGAGGGCTTTTCCGTCAGCTTCGGAAGAGTCATTCTTTATGCCTGCATTAAAAAGTGAGAGTTACGTAATTTTTGGTGATTTTTAACACTTTTAAGTACAATGCATGATAATTGTAGAAGATTGGGGAAAGCCAAAAATAAGAAAACTATTTTTATGTGTTTCCTTCTGGTACATTTTTGCTACTGAAAATGATAATTGAAATTATACTATATACATCCTGCTTTTAAAAGCTACATCAGGAGCTGAGTGTGGATGGATATCTGTAATCCCATCACTCTGGAAGGGTGAGGCAGGGGGATTACAATTTTAAACCCAGTCTGGGCAACTAAGTGATGGAGATCAGTGCCAAGGCTCTAGGTTCATCCCCAGTCCTGGGGGGGAGGGGAGGAAGGAAACGAGTTTTATAATTTTTGTTGAGTTTTTTCTACATAGTTAATAGATCCATTAAAGTGCACTATAATTGTAAAAGATTTGGAAAAGGCAAAAATAAGAGAGGAAAACTCCATTTCTGTGTGCTTCCCTCTGGCATATTTTCACCACTAAAGTGACAATTGAAATTTTTCTATAGGTGTCCTACTTTAAACAGCTAGATCTCTGTGTTGTTCTGACCTCTGTGGAAATCCATGTAAGGATCTTAGTGCTTCACGGAGGGGGTGAATATGGTGGGCTTAGTCAGTGTCCTGTGGCTGCGCCTGCCAGGTGCTTCCTTCCTTCTCCTATATTTTCATTTCAAGGTCTTTTTACCGGACTTGCGCCCCGCTGCCTCCCAGGACAGGGATGCCCTCACCAGGCAGCGCAGCTTGGTGGAGAGGGAAGGGAGTGAGGGTCCCAGGGCTGCATATGTGCCCCTCTTCCTGCCTGTGCCAGTTCCCTTCCCTGAGTGACAGGGTCCTCCGCTCCATGGGAATCATGACCCCAGTCAACGGGGCTGCTGAGGCTGAGCACCCATGGGTGCTGAGAGACTGTTGTCGCCCTGTGCACCTGCTGGGTACAGCGGAGCTCCCTTCCGGGCACCTGAGCCTTGCTGCCGGGCTCTGTGCTGTTTCCCTCTGCTGTGGGCGTGGTCTGGAGTGTTTGCACAGTGTGTTTCTGGGGCATTGGGTCCTTTGTGCAGGCTCAATCGGCTGGTGAATAACTTAGAGACTCGGCCTTTGTCCTGGGGACCCCTCCCCGGTCTCTGAGGCCCAGCTCATCTGTCATCAGAGCTCTGCAGAACAATAGCTAAAGATTCCCAGAGGCAGAGTTGCAGTCTGGGCAAGGGTGACATCTGTCTCTCCATCCCTCTGTGCTGATGGGATGGGAGGAGGCAGGTGTCCCCTTTCCCGTATGGTGCCAGGTGGGACCCTGTGGAAGCAAGACTGGAAGTGTCTGGGAGGGGAGGCGGGGAGGGGCTGGACTCTTGTGACCCAGGGTGTGGAATAGGCAGCGAATGGGGATCGACCCAGATATTGCTGAGTCCCTGTCTACCAGAGCCTTTGCTGGGTGCCACTCATGAGTACCCCAAGGTTAAGGCTGGCAGGTAGGCACCGCCAATGGGTAGCTGAGGCTCAGAGGGGTAAAGTGACAGGCTCAGTGTCACACAGTAATTAGCTGTAGAGTCATGATTTGAATCCAGATCTAGTCTGACACTGACATATGTTCCTATCTCTTAGTCTGAGCCACATCTTTCTTAAAAAGAAACTTAATCCGTTGCCTCAAGACCATGAAAACAACTGGAATAAACTGACAAGGACTGGTTTCGCAGTCTGGGGCCAGTCCCCTCACGGTATGGGAATACTGGTGACCACCACGTGGCCGTTTATGTATCCCTTCTTCAAGGCTCTTCTCATTTAACCCCCACTCCCATATTTGAATAAGTCTTCAGGTAGGTCCTTTGGGATCTGATAGGACTGTTAATCTCGATTGCACTGTCTTCCAGCTGGGTGGCCTCAGAGCTAGGCACTTTTCTCTCAGTCTCAGTTTCCTGCTCTGTAAAATGTGTCTAATAAAACTCAAGTCGTTGCTGTCATGTTGACAGAGCTGTCCCCAGTTAGCGTCTGTTTTCTGTAACTGTCAGCTCAGCTTCCCTTTCATCCTTTTGCTCTTCTTCCTCCTTCTCTTCAGAGCCTCTCTTACTGGGAGGAGAACTGAGTTTCGAACCTCCTCTTTTGGGGAAGCAGTGTTTGAGTTTGCAAAGAAGTAGCACTGTGGCCTCCTCTGTAGAAGAATCCCTGGTTTCTCAGCAGGACCCCTTGTGAGGCTCACAGTTCCTGGGAGCTCCCTGGATCTGCGAGCCCTGAAGCATCTGATGCACTTTAGGCCACGGCCTCTTGGTGCCTCAGGCGACTGAGCAGTCCTTGTAGCCCAGAGTCAGGGTAAAGGACGAAAGCCTAGAGAGAGCCTAAAAGGCTGCCATGAGGGCTTTTCTGGTTGCTGTTCTTGCTACCAGGAATCCTGTGTGCTGTTAAAGGGAAAAGAGACCTTCCATGAGCAGCGTTAATGAGCACCGTGGACTGGAGCAATAATAACACTAACAACACAACAGTAGCAGTAATAGAATTCAAGCCACTGGGTAAATACTATCTTATTTCATCCACATGGTCACTGTGCGAGGTGGGTACTGTGATTATCCCCATTTTAAGAAGATAAGACTGAGGCTCAGAGGGGCAATGGAATTTCTCAAGGTCACACAGCTGTCTGGTAGAATCCATGCCACAAAGCCCAGGTTCTTTCCAATTCACTAGGATGTTTGGGTTTGACCCTGGTCTGACCAGAACCCCTCCCAGCTTCCTGTTTTGCCTGTGACCTGTACTCGAGGAGGTCATCTGTGATTTGAGCCAGGCTCCTGCCAGCATTCCCCGGCCTGCCCATGGTCATGTATTTATTCCCTTACTCCTGTCTCTTTCTCTCTCCATGACAGCTGGAGGATGTCCCGGTACCTCCAGGTACTTCCAGGCAAGGTCATGTGGCTGAAGTGGCATCTGAGCGGTACCCAAGGTGATGCTCCATCTCTTCTGCACATGCCAGGGGTGTAGAGACCAGCTTCATGCTATGCAATCAAGTCCACTGCGAAATCCAACATGCTGAGCCCTCTTGGATGTCAGGGGTAGGAGAGATACTAGGGGTCCCCCCTGGTTCCAACTCCTCAAGCACAGCTTCTCTGACCTTGGCTGGAAGTGGGGCATAGTGTGGCCTGGTGAGAGCTGAGATACTGGGGCCATGTCAGTCCTTTTGATGTGGCACTTCTCAGTTCTGGTCCATTTCATCACATGTAAACAAGCTCTGAATAAGAATCTCATGGCGGTATCATTTCTATACAAGAAAACTTAGTTACTTAAAGTATGTGGCACTGGGGAGCCATAGTCCTAACAGGATTTGGTTGACTTTTAAGTCCACATTTCAGTTTCTGCTCTTTAAACAGCATTAGCTTAACCCTGGAGCTAAAGTCCCCTGACATTGCTTTGCCTTAACGATACCCAGGATTCCAGCTACACAGGCCTAGGGGAAGGGATCAAAAAATTTCCCACAGAGCAGCTCAGCGTCTGTTTGCAGAGTTGCACCGAGTTCCTGGGACAGAGAAGAGAGGAGGAATTTTCCAAGTTCTTCAAGGCAGTCCGGTCCATGCAGGAAAGAAAGCAGCCTTGCAGATAAGTATTCAAATGCACCTGCCTGTGGCCATCAGCCTGCCCCTGGTCAGTCTGTTTCTCCCTTTGTAGTCAAGTGGGGACCTCAGCACTGTTGCCTGTGGGATGCATTCTTCTCAGGGTGAGGCTCCAAGTATGTATCGCTTTAGCTTTGGCCAGGTGCCGACAGCGAGCTCTGATAGTATGTTCAGAGGGTCCCTAACTGCCTGGCTTCCATCTGCAGGCACAGCTGACTCAAAACAAACCTGAGTTAGGATCCTTGGGCATCCCCTGGCCTTCTCCACACTGGCAGCATGGGCTGGCCTCAAAAGAGCCCCATCCTACCTTCCTTTGGGGTCCCCCAGTCGGCTGTTGGGAAACAGGGAGGTTTCTGGGGCTCTAGGTCTCCCTGTCCCTGGCCTGGGGTGGGGCGTGGGTGTGGTTCTCTTTTGCGGCCTGGGTGGCTCTTCTGTCTTCCAGGATGGCCTTGTGTGGGGTCTTTGTGCAGAGGGAGCTCGGAGCCAGGCCTGGGCTATCAGCATGGTGGCTGGATGCTGAAGGTAAGCTTGGGCAGGGCAGGGAGGGAGAGAGGTGCTCTGAGCTTCCTCTCAGCAGGTAGCTTGTCTGTTCTTCTGTGTCCCCTCCCCTGGCCTGGGCCTGGCCAGATCCTTCTGCTCATGAGAAGGTCCCAGGACCCGGATGGCTGGAAGGCTGCTCTGTGTGGTTGAGGTGTGGATGGGAATGAATCCAGGCCACAGATTCATAGTGGCCTTTCGGCTGGGCTTTTTAGCAGGGCCCTCGATTCTGCAGACACAGACCAGGCATCTTTCTTACAGTAGACACTGGGATCCAGCAGTGAACACCAGACATTCGGTCCCCTTCTCTTGGATCTTCATGTTGGAACACACTTCCCCATGGCCAGGCAAGGAGGTGAGCTCCCTGTCCTGGGAAGCATGTGTGCATGCATTGGAGATGCTGTGTCTAGAGGTCCTTTTGGTGAGTGTTGGAAAGAGAGATCAAGTCACACGAGTGCTCTGAAAGTCCCTTCCACCCACCCCAACCCTTTTCCTGTCTCTGTCCATGACCTTGGGGCTCGTTTTGGGCTACCATTACCTGCTCCTTTTGCCTAAGTTTCTTCTAAAAGATCTTAGAGTCCCAGTCCCCTGCTAGTGTTGGAGCACAGGAGACAGGCGGCTGCACGTGTACCCGGGACAGGGTGGGGGATACAGGGATCCGGGACAGAGGCCTTGGCCTCCTTGTCATGTTTTGTGCCTCCCCAGACCATGTTCCCCCTGCACTTCTCCAGGACCCCTGGCTTGCTGTGCTCTGGGGAGCTGGGTGAATGGATTCTGGCTGCAGGAACCCAGAGCAGCCCTCGGTGGTCCCATCCCCAAGGATCCCGCTCTTCTCAGCGCGTGGGAGAGGTCTTCTGAGAAGAGCTGCTCCTGGCCGATGGTCAGCTGAACACCGGATCCTGGGCTGGCGCATGCTCCAGGCGTGTGGAGGGGCCACAGCTCTCTACCCTGCTCCTCCTGCCTGGGCCCAAGCATCTGAGGCTGGTGGCCGCTCCCTGACCCCATGCAGACTGTATTCCTCCTCTGGTTCCCTCTGTGGCCACACCTCTGCCCAGGCAAGCACTTCCCTGGACACACCCTCCCCAAGGCCTGCTCTCAACAAAGATGAAGTTGGGGAGGCACTACCAGTTGGGGAGGTGGGCTTGGCTCCTTGGGGCAGCCCATTGAAGTCTTCCATCTTTTGTCATTTTGGTAAGGGCTTCCTGGGTGAGGCTTTTCATGTCTCTCTCCCTGATGGCTCCAGAGGGAAGCAGTGGCGTCCTGGGAGAAGCTGGGGCCTTCCCCAGTGGTGTCCAGATGTGGGAGGCAACTGGAGGGGCAGAGGGGTAAGGTCTTGAAAAGGTGTAGAGCTGAGGATGCCAGGGGTGGGGGGTGGAATGGGGGTGTTCACTAGAAACTAGACTGACAGCCCTGCTCTCACTCCTGCCATTCAAAGAGAATTCCTTCACCCCAAGGCAGGAAGAGCCATCTGAGCCCAAACTCAGGATAGGTGTCAAGCAGGCAGCCCCCTGGTCCTTGTGTGTGGTTCTGAATTTTGTCTTTGGGAACAGAGGCCAGTGAGATGGGCCCTTCCCATATGCAGTGTCCCCATACACCTGCCCTTCCGTGTCCGCCTCTGATGACAGTCTCTGCAGAGGGGATAATCCCACTGCTTGCAAAGCTTGTAGCTTTCCCAAGATCATTTTAAAAGCTGGAAGTCCTTTTTCTAGGGAGGGAAGATGGTGGGTATTCATCAGCTTGGGCTGCTGTCACAGAATACTGAGGATGCACCGCAGGGCTTCAGTGCCCAAGACTTATTTCTCATGGTTCTGGAGACCAGAAAGTCCAGGACCCAGGTTCCAGGGTTGGCTCCTGGTGAGGCACCTTCCTCTGCGTCCTTACGTGGCCTTTTCTCAATGGCGCTTTGGTGTCTGTCTTTATAAGGACACCAGTCCTAGTATAGCAAGGACCCATGCTCGTGACCTCATTTGATTTTAAGTTGGTGCCATGTCCTCTCCAGAACCCTCACCTGTAGAGGAAGGAGGAGCAAGTGAATGGAAAATAGATCAGGGAATGGCAGGCTTGGGGCCAGGGTGAGTCGGGTGCCTCCTGGGCATAGGGACTGGCTGAACCCTGTGTGGAGAGCCTAGTCCTGAAGGAGCCCCTAGTTTGAAATCAGAGCAGGTCTCAGGTGCGCCCTCTACTGTACAGCTGTGGGAACACCCCTCAACTCCCATTGAAATGGGTGCTGGTGACCTGGTGAGCAGGTGTGGGGCGCATCTCCAGAGATAATGTGCCCAGTGCAGTAGTGACTGCTTAGCTGGTGCTCAGTAATCACCCTGCCCATCGGGGTGTTTAGATTTAGGGCTGGTCTTTAGGCACTTTCTGAGTCAGAGGTGCTTCTGACTCCCCTCTCCCCTGGCTGCTGTCCTGACAGCCCTTTCTAAGGAGCTTGGGGAAGAAGTCAGTTCTGGCATTAGAACTAGCACTAACTTGGGGCTCAGTCTTGTGCCACACTTGAGGGTATTAGGTGGGAGAGGCTCTCTAGTGAAGCTGAACCAACAAGGGTCTCAGAGCGTGAGAAAGCTGTGGCTGTGCCCAGAGCTTCTGGGGAGAAACTGGAGCAGGATTCTCCAAGTAAAGTCAGGGAGTGCAAGACTTATCAGAGCCTCTGAAATGCTCATGGGGACTTCCGGTACTCAGGGACAGGACAGAGGGTGATGTGTTTCTTGGCTTTGTTTTTCTAATTTTACAGAATCTCTCACAGAGCATCATTTAGAGCTGCAGGAGATGCGAGGCTGGGTTTTCTGTAAGGAACATTCATGGTGATAGGAGGCGGTGTAACGAGGGTGCCCCCAGGTGCTGTGTGGTGTTGGCTGGAAAGGACTCAGATGAGGGATGTGCGGTGGAGAGCTCGAACCTGGTTTCCAGGCCAGGCCAATTCAATGCAGTTTTGTGGGAAGGAGGAGGGGGCAGGTTAGCTGTGATGGGTGTCATGTCCACCAGGTAGTAGGGGCTCTGGGGATCACATCTGTGTGTGTGTGTGTGTGTGTGTGTGTGTGTGTGTGTGTGTGCATGCCTGAGTGAAAGGACCCAGCCCTCAGGGATGGGTCTGACTAGAACCAAGTGTGGGGTTTCTACTCAGGACAGGTAGCATCTGTTTCCAGGGGAACTGAAGTGTTTGCAGGGGTGGGGTGCTCTAAGACCCACAGCCAAGAAACGGAAGTAAAATGCAGGGTCCAAATGGCCAGGCTCAATTCTGGTTGGCCTGAGGGCCGCAGAGGTGGACCCCCCTTGCCCTGGTCAGGCCCCACACTTGGGGTGGGGCTGGGGTGGGTGAGCAGGAGGTGTCTGGAACCATAGCTGGAGGGGCCGGGCAGTGTTGCATGGTGTGATTAACCTACTAACCCAGGGCTCGGCCAGGACGCTGTGGCGCGTGCCGTGCCGAGGTGCCTGGCCTTTTGCCAACCGACTAACCCACTAACCAGGCCCGAGCATGCCCTACTAACCCTGCGCAGCCAGACCCTACTAACTGCAGCTCATGGGCCTTGGAAGGGGCTGGGCCATGGGGCAGCCGAGGCTCCGAGGGCCTGGCCTGGGCTGGGGTCTTTGTGCAGATGCTCACTGCAGACAGGGCCTGCATGTGACTTAGCAATTCTGCCAGCTTCAGTGGAGGGACTCTGAGCAAGTCACCTCATTCTTCTGCACCCCAGTTTCCTACATAGGGATGAGGAGTACTGACTCTTACCTCACCGATGGCCTTAAATAAGCGAAGGGATCGGGGTGGGGGTGGGGGCCCCAAAACTCAGCTGGCAACAGCTGCTGCCCAGCCCTGGGCTACCCGGGTGCTCTGCACACAGACCTTCTGCCTGGAGCCAGACACTTGCTTTGAACCCCTAACTGTCTCCCCCACATTCTTCCTTCTTGTCAGCTTTCTTTTCTATAGGCAGCTCTTTGTTCGATTACTAACTTGTCTAACCTGGGGGCGCCTCCCCTGCGCCCCACCCTCCCTTAACACACTAACGGACCTGCGTGTGTTCTTCCTTTTCTCCTAGTGACTCCTGTGTGTGTCTGCCGAGGCGCCCCTGTCGCTGGTGCTGTGCTGATTTACTAACCCGGCCCTACTAACCTGGTTTCTCTTCTTACTAACCCCAGCCCTGCCGAGCTCTGGGTCTCCCTGGGGGCTGGTCCCCCTCCTTTTGGCAAACAGATGTCCCCAGGCTGGTCCTGCAGACCAATGTCCCAGATTGGCTGCTTGTGAGATCAGAGACCACTGGGTCAGGTCTAAGGCAGGGGCGGCCTTATGAACGGCATCCAGAGGAGGAGGAGGTGGCCCTGCAGATGCGGGAGGCTGGACTCTGAGCATGACCTCGCTCCTCTGTGCACAAGGCTGATTGCCACTGGGAGTGGGCAGGGCCGGGGCATCCTCCGGGGTGTGAGTGCCAAGGCCTGTGGGTCACAGAGTGCAGTTCTGGGGTTTCCCCAGCCAGAGAAATGGAAAAAAGGGGCCTGGGCTTCCTTCCCTGGAAAGGGTTAGTGAGAGCAGCCATCCTGGAAAGGAAGCTAAAGGAGTGTCCCCAAAGGGAACTTGGTCGAAGGACCTGGCCTTACACCAGAAGTCAGTCACGAAATCAAATAGGAAGTTAATAAAGGGTCTTTCCTACACTGAAACGTCTTTGAGGGAGCTGTGTACACAGGAAATCAGTGACAGAGGCATTCTCTACACTTGAAACTGAGGAAAGGGGCCTGTTGACTGACAGTCAGTGAAAGAGGCTTTTCCTTATCACTAGGTCCTGAGAAGGCATGGCAGGTAATCAGGGAGAGGCCCAGGAAGCTGGCTAGAGGGGCTCTTACGTCAAAAGGTGGGAGAAGCCAGAAACTCACACCGGAAGTAGATATGGGGCTATTTTTGGCCCTAAGTCATTTAGAAAGACTTCACACCCAGAAGCTAGCGGGTGTCTGTAGCTGTGTTGCAAAAGCAGTGTGGAAAGCACCTGTACAAGAGCTGGGGGCTTAGGAAGAGGAGGAAGTGGGGAGCAGAACATGCCTGCCAGGGGCCCACAGGCTGGCCAGGAAGTCCCCCTCACTCCCTGTTTCCTCCATGCCCTTGCCCCGGCCCAGCCAGCCTCCCCCAGAGCCCGCCAGCCGCTGAGCCGGGGCCACACCTGGGGGTGACTTCATGCCTCACCTCCAGTAGGCTCCTGGCCTCTCTAGGCTGATCTCTGGCTCCCGCGCACTAACTCTTGCTCTCGCCCAGCTACTCCCCGCCTCGCCCTGGCTGCCCAGGGCTGCCCACTAACAGCCAATCTCGCCCACTGGGGGCTCTGGACTCCCTGCCTGGCTCGGGCCGGCTCTTAATTAACTTCCCTTCCCCCTGACTAACTCCTGCCTTCCGGTCTGTTCCTTTCAGCGGAAACTAATGGCTTGTGGACTTCTTTCTGACTAACAGCAGGTGTAACAGTCCTGGTTACCACGACTATTAACAGCTTGGTGGGCAGCATGGCTGGGAGGATTTGGAACTGGACTAACAAGCAGTAGCATTAAGTAGTGATGTCGGACTCGGTGACTGCGCTGTCTGAGCAGTCAGATGTCAGTGGAGACCCTAGGTCTTTAAAGGAGGTGCCAGGGCGTGGCCCAGTCCTGATGGGGGGCTGGTACCCGCCCAGGTGGGGTCTGACCTAGGGTGTGTCTTACAAACATTTGACCCGTGGATGTATCCTTTGCCTTCTTGGCGTTTGTGACAGCACTTTTACACAACAATCTCATTGTCCACATGTACTTTATAAACTTTAACATGCCCGCCTGGTGTGTGCACAGAGTATGACATGTGTGGAATTACCAGCAATCAGGCGGGGGCCCAAAGGCCCTGCTTGGCTTTGTCAGAGTTTTGGTGGCCCTGGAACACATAGTAATATTCAGGATTATAAATCCATCAGCCCTTTACATCTTAGTGTGATTTAACTGGGCTTCTTCTAACTCTTTTAATGTAAGTCTTTTACTGCAGTCTGCCTGCATTGGGGAGCAGTGAGTTTGGATCTGTTTACTGCTTGAGGAAGTTTTGCTGGTGGCAGAGAGGAGGAGCCATGCGGGGATTGCAGGTGGTGGGGTGGGGTTCCTGCGGGGGAGAGAGGTGCACAGGTTGAGGTGGGAATGGGAAGAGGGGCTCCTTTTGCCGGCTCAGCTTGGTAGTCAGTCTATGGGGAGCACAGATCAGTGTGTGGAGGACTGGTTTGCTGAGGGGCAGTTTCAGAGCCTGGCTAGGAAGCCTAGCGGACAGCAGTTTGGGTCAGGGTGTGCCGAGAGGTCCCTCTCCGCTATGACCCCGGGCCCAGAGCTAACTGTGAGGAGCTGGCAGTGGGATGTGGAGGGTGATCCAGGGGCCTGAACTACAGAGGAAAGAGCAGAGGAGCAACCCGGAAAGAGCCGCGAGAAAGTGCAGAGTGGAAGGCCCTGAACTTGGGGAGCAACTGCCGCCCTCTAGTGGCCGCCCGGCCGTATGTCACACAAACACTCATTTGATGGTGCACTCCGGAGCACTTCTGTATCAAGTAGAAAGATTTGTGGCTGCTGGGGACCCTGTGTGCCTACCACTGCTCATGGCCTTGTACAAATCAGTAGGCACCGTGCCAGGCATGGGGGCCTAGTGGGGATCCCATACTGGCTGGTGGCCAGGGGCTTTAAATGAGTGGGTAGGGCCAGTGACTCCAGGATGTGGTGGGCAGGGTGGGCTTGCTGAAGAGACCGTAGGTAAGCTCAACTCCGGCTGGTGTCAGGTGGATGGGGTGAGGTCCAGGCAGTGGGAATGGCGGGTACAAAGCTCTGGGGGTGCACAGAGGATTCACAGAGGTTCTGGGGAAGGTGGCAGGAAAGAGATGGTACACTGGGCTCTCTGGAGTTGTGTGGCACCTTGGGGAGCTGTGTGGGTGTGACCTGAGAAGGGCAGAGTGGGGCTGAGCCTTCAAGCTGGTTTGGTGGTTTCAGCCCGGCTGGGACTCTGGAGCTTGTAATGAGTTGTGGGCATATTTCATACACCGTCTATATAGAAAGTCTGGAAACCAGCAGGACCCTGCAGGCATCTGGAGATGAACAGGTTCCACGTCACCCGGCCCAGGTAGAGGTAACTCTGCACCGATTGGAAAGCTCAGAAGGCTAAGGTGACCATGAGGACTTTGAAGAAGGGTTGTTTCGAAGATGTGACAAGCCCTGGTGCAAATAGGCCCTGGAGAAGGTCCAGGGAGTGAGGCCTCAGGCTGGCAGAGAGAAGGGGCAGTTGGCTTGTGTGGCTGCAGGAGGAGATTCAAGTATCCAAGAGGTTTACTGACTGCAGAGAAGAGAAAAATGGGTTAACAGAACTTTCTGTCCCCAAAGGCAGGAGGCCTGGGCCTAGAACCATGTTGAGAGTGACGAGGATTGTGAGAGTCTGTGAGTGTGTGTATGTGTGTGAGTGTGAGTGTGTGTGTGTGTGTGTGTGTGTGTGTGTGTGTGTGTGTGTGGAGTCCTTGACTGAATGCTGGAGGAAGCTGAGCCCTGAGCCCTGGTAGGCGGGTTTGTCTTGAGCTCTCCCATGCTGGTGCCTACTTGAGGTTCGTTCCCTCTGTCCTCGAGTACAGTGACATCAGGCTTGCTGAACAGTGGCCTGTGCCCTGACAAGGTGTCCCAGGCTTTGCTTACACCTTGTAGAGGCAGGGGCCGCTGTGCTGTGGTGCTGGTGTCCTGGGATGTGCTGCACAGAGAGGTGGGGCGAATGCTGAGCAGGACCCCGGCTCCCTTCCCAACTGTGGCCCCCCTCAGACCTCCTCAAGAGTCAAGAAAAGCTGTCTGTGTCATTGGCTTCCAGGGATGGCGGATGTGCACAGAAATTCTGTTGATTAAAAAGCTGATTTTGGCCCAAATCTAGCAATGAAGTGTCCTTTGGCTTTTTGTTTTTAGCCCCTACTGTAGCTGCTTCTGTGTAAAGTACCATTTTGATATTAAAAATCAGTTAACACCCAAAGTTGACTGTGACTGCTGAGGCAGAAGGGGCATGTGGTTTGGGGGAGAAGGGACAGCTGGTGTCGCTGAGTCAGTCTTTCCGGAGCCCTGACCATAGGGGTTCATGTCACAGAGTGTTTGTTTGGAGTTTTAATTGTGGTGAGATAAGCACCACATAAACAAACCGCCTTGACCATTTTTAAGCAGATAGTTCACATGTACATTCACACAGTTGTACAACCATCAGCTCCACCAGTAATTTTTAAAAAGGGGTTACTGTGGATTGTGCGCAAGGCTTTTGCTTTGAGCTACATTCCCAGCCATTTTAATTCTTTTACTTTAAGATAGGGTCTCTCTGTGTCACTGAGTTGCCTCACAGGCTAGGTTTGAATTCATGACCCTTCTGCCTCAGCCTCACAGAGTGCTTGGAGTACACACCACCAGGACCAGTGGGATGGGTGATCTTTAAAAATCATACTGCTCTGTGCATAGAGCAATGCAGCAAAGAAAATCCCAGTTCTTATTGATTGATTATCTACCTCTTATTGACATCTGGGATATAGTATCTTTGGGCTCTTTAACCCCAGCTCTCAGGAGGCTGAGGCAGGAGGATTGTAGCAAGTTTGAGGCCAGCCTGAGCTATAGTGAGTCCTAGTCAAAACAAAACAAAAGCAAAAACAAAATAAAAAATGAACAGGACGTTTTGCAGCTCGGGCCAGTATGCCAGAGTGTTTTTAAGAGTTCCAGGGTCAGTCCTCTGGCTGAAACTCCCACAGGAAACGGCAGTTTGAACCCCAGCTTTGCCCTTTCCATGCTGTGAGACCTTGAGGCCTGCAGCCCTTCTCGGAGCCTCCCTCTGCTCTGGGAAATGGGCCTAGCACTAGCACTGTCACCCGGTGGGGTGTGGTTGGGCGGGGCCTGAGACCCACAGGGGCTGCTCCTGAAACCTCACTCGGTGTTATCACCAGACAGGGAATGGGAGCCTCGGGTGCTGGTGGAGTCATCAGGCTGGTTTTAGAGGGGCTGGGTGCCCACAGGATCTGGGGCAGGCAGGGGCCGGTCGGGGAGCCTACAGCCTGAGCTCTAAGCTGGAGTCTAACCTTTGGATGGGGTGTACTGGGAATATTCTAGTGCAGCGAGAGCCTGCCCTGGGGGACGGGGTAAGTGGGGAGAGGCCGATGGTCTCGGGCAAGCTCAGGACCCTGGTGTGTGTGGGGGAAAGGGCTCTGGAGTCTGGGACAGCTGAGCCGGCAGCGCCCAGCACGGTACTCGGGAGTGTGCATACCGTTTCCTGGCACCTGCTGACCCAGGCAGCCCAAGGGGTCACCATTCCTGTCCTTGGGTCCAACTCTACCACTGCCCTCCCTGTCCCTGAGCAATCTTGCTTAGCCCCTTTCTGCCTCGGGCGTCAGTGTCTGCTGAAAAGAACCAGCTGCTGGGGGCGTCTTTAAGTGCCCTCTGCCCTTGAAGGGCTAGACATGCAGCCTGACCGTGGGGGCTCCCCGCTCCTTTATTCCCCTCGGTTCACCCAGGAGCTGGACTGAGCGCGTCCTGTATCCCGGCAGCTGGCCGCTGTGCCGCCCACATGCTCCCATCGGTCCTCTCCCACGTGCCTGGCTCTGGCTCTGCCCTTCACCGGGCCGAGTCCCTCTGGTCTCTGCATGGCTGGCATCTCCAGGCCCTCTGGTCTCAGTGGAACTCAGCCTCTAAGAGAAGCTTCTCTTGACCACCCCATCCGTAAACCTCGGTCACCGCAGCTCTCAAACCCTGGGGTTTCAGGTCCCCTTTGCACTCTTAACATATGGCAGTGGCCACAGTCGGGTGTGTGGCTACCACCGGCTGCTGAAGGTCAGCCGACTGCTTTCACTGATTCAACAAAATGTAGGGACTCTGCGTTAACCAGGGTGCTCGCTGCCAGGGATCCACCCAGGAAGCAGACGGGCGCGGCCTCTGTGAGCTCACAGCCCGGGAGAGCTTTAGATGAGCAACCAGGTGTAGACAGGAGCCATGAACAGGAGCAAGGAGCTGGCATAGCACATCTTCCATATTAGAAATCGAACCAAGATTATTTTTTCTTTTTACAAAAGCGGCTTGTTTATTAATTCATGGAAAAACAACCATAATAGTTATAAACCTCATTGCTTACCAACATAAACAACACATGCTTTATGAAAAATAGCTACTTCCTGAAAGAAAACAAATTAAGGGAGAAGACAGCTTTACTCTTTCTGGTAAATCTCTTTAATGGATGGTTTAATAGAAGACAGACTCTGTTGCATTCTGATACCTACTTGTGCATTCAATCTGTTGCAGTGTCATTTGTCACGTGGCTCCCAGAGGGCAGAGTTTCAAAGCCGCAGGCCCAGCGAAAGCTGTGGTTTATAGATTCAGCCAGCAGATGGCGCCATTGTACCAAACCCCAGCTGCTAATTTTTGGTGCCTGGAAATTGGACTTCTTTAGGATTTCTCCTTTGGTGTCTGGGGTGCTCTACAGGGATTCCCGTGGGGTGGCAGAGTTTCAGGGCACTGAGTTGTGTGTAGCATGGGTGGGTGGATGAGCAAGGAGCTGGCATGAATGCAGCTGAAAACAGAAACTCTGGAAAAGCTCTGCTCATTGTGGCAGAGGGTTCCCTTTTTTGACAGAAACAAAGCCAAGTGACAGGCCTTCTCTGAGCCTCAGTGTTCTCCTCTGCAAAATGGGAAGACACAGAGCCTGGCTTGCATTCTGCCATGCCGCTCTGGGTAAGGGTCACTTTGTGTCAGTAACAGCCCTTTTCCGGCCATGTGGTCCTGCAGGCGTCTCCCCTGAGATGGGTGCACAGGGAGGATCTGCGGAAGAGGTGCTCTCCTGCTTCTGCTCCTCCCACCCACCTCCCAGCCCCGAGTGTCCCCCAGGGATTGACACAGGAAAGCCTGTGCTTTCCTGAGGGCTTAGTGGATGCCAGCTGTGTGCTGAGCAGGGTACAGAGGTGCTAACTGTGGTTTAAGTTTCATTATCCCCATTTTCCAAAGGGACATGGAGACCCAGGGACAGGAAAACACATGACCGGAGGACTGGGAAGCCTCAGGTGAAGGAGGCTACCAGGCCGGGGTGGGGGCGCATGTCCCTCAAATGCTGGCTCCCTCTCCCCCAGAAGGCTGAGCCTTGGCCAGGAGGTGGCTCAGTGATAACCAGGCCCTGGGTTCTACTCCCAGACCGCGAAAAATCAAACCCAAACAGCCTTTCTCTGTTGATTTTTCTCCGCAGTGCTCTTTGCCCCCACTTGAGGTGGTCACTGCCAGGCAGATCAGAGCACAGGTGGGGATTTTGTGTTTAATTTCTCCTTTGCTGCCCTGATGGACAGGCCCCCGAGCCAGGGATCTGCTGCTTCCTGTTCCGACCCAGCGTCCAATACCACGGGAGCCCAGAGATGGCCCAGGACCGCCTTGTAGGAGGAATGAAATAGAAGCCAGCGTAGCCTTGCATGCGGGAGGTGCCGCCCTCCCTGGCTGTGGACGGGGAGCTGGTGACTTTGCCTCCCTCGGCTCAGTTTCCTCATCTGAAAAAGGGGGACGACACCATGTTCTATGAACGGGATATTATGAGTGTCTTTATGAAGTGTGATAAAAAGTTCAGACAAAGTGCTATGAATGCCAAGCACCATCGGACAGACAGGCGAGTCAGTTCTAGACGTGGAAGCAGCTGTGACAGCACGACTAAAGACCCTCATGAAAGAGGCCTTCCAGAACCGCTTCAGAAAGTGGTGAGTACGGAGGGGTCAGTGTGTTGGGGGCCAGGGAGAGTATTTTAAAGGAGATTCATGGTAATGTGTCTTTTACTGTAATACATTTTAAAAAATTTAAACATTCGCTGTATTGGTCCATCAGACCACAGTCGTCTTACCACAGAGTCCAGGGGGAAGACAGAATGACCTGAGGATCGGAGCTGGGGGCTGGGGCTGTAACTCAGTGGTACAGCACTTGCGTAGCATGCAGAGGGTCTGGGCTCCATCCCTAGGACCAAAACCAAACTGAACTCACCCCCACACACACACACCCCAGGGGCCACCTGGACCTCATCGCTGAGCCAGCTGGCTGGCAGCATGCAGCTCTGTCCCCTTCCCTGCTGAGTCTGCCTGGATGTGCACATCCTTGAAGCCACAGCTGCAGTGTCTGGGTCCCTGTGGGCATCTCCTGCCAGCTGTGGCTGGTAAACAGACCCTCCTGTGCATAGCACCCTACAGGGAAGATGGAGTCACATGGCTGGGGACCGAGCCCCTGGGGGAGGTGGTGAGGCCTCTGGTGCAGGAAGGAGACTTCTTCCCAGATAAGCTTTGGAATTCCAGGAATGCGTGGGAGCCTCCAGCAGGCCCAGGATGAGTGCCCTGGAAGCTCGGGCTTGCTGGGGCATTTTTCCAGCAACTGGGCTGCAGGGCCACCAGGGAGTTCATTCCAGACATCATCTCCTGGCTCCGGGGTCAGGCCTCAAAACTTTCCCAGGTCCTCAGACTGCCGGAGATGGGTGCTGCTGGACTCCCACAGTCTTTGATTTGGGCCCTTTCCCTAGCATAACCCTTGGGTCTTTTGCAGACCCCAGGGAGGGAAGGAAGCATGGTTAAGTTCAGACCCAGTTGTCTCCTGCCTGAGAACTGTGTGTGTCCATGTATAAAGCGCAGCTGGCACCGAGTCTCCCTCCTGGGGTGGTGGGAAGGGGGGGAGGACCCCAGGGGAGTGAGGTTCCAGATGTGGGAAACAGCAGTTATCATTATTTGATGGCTTCTGAGATATTTTCCAAAGATAGCTGCAACAATCCCCCCTGCTTCATGAGTGTCTTCTCTCTGAATGTGGCAGCTGTGTGGCTTTGGGGGACATGACTGTGATGGGTCATCCTGACGTCAGTGTGACTGTGTCAAGAGATGCCTAGAGAGGAGACTGGGTCACAGAGGCACAAACCTCACCGACAGGTTAAACCGTGGCTGAGCTCTCAGCAGGCTGACGGGCTCTTAGTAGAAAAGGCCTGGCTGACAGAGGTAGGTTACTAGG